CTTCTTCATAGGATGCTCTGAGCATTGTAGCACACGGCACTGCCAGCTAATGGTTTAGAGCACCTTCATGTGCATAGTGACTATTTTTACATCTTCTTTGGTAAAATGTCTACCCAAGACCCTTACCTCATTTCTGATTTGAGTTGTTAGTCTTTCTGTTGTCACACTCTGTTCTTGTCTTTGTGATAACAGCCCCCATCCTAAAGGGTTTGGGATAATTGTGATTTTGATTTGCATTTCCCCGATGGTTGATGGATCTCACTCATCTTTCCATTTGGTGATTGGCTATTGTCTATCTTTTTGATAGAAATGTCAAGTCAGATCCTTTCCCCATTTTAAAATGTGGACACTTGTCTTTTTAGTACTGAATTGTTAAAAGAGTTTTTATACATTCTAGATGCAAGTTCCTTACCAGATATGTTATTTACAAGTGCTTTCCTCCCGTTCTGTGAGTTCTTTTTAACTTTAGTCATGGTTACAGCAGGGCATTACATCCTCCAAGAAGCTTTCTCGCTGTCTGGGTGTGTTCCCTCTCCACTTCCCATAGCTTCCTGGCACAGCCCTCTTTTGTATGCTCAGCACACAGTGTACTGAAATAATCTGTTTAGGATTGTGTTTTCTCTATCAGAAGGCACTGTGTCTTACAGAGCTCTTTATTTCCAGTGCCTCAGCTTCTGCTGAATTCAAAATAAGAGCTCAACAAAATAATTGCTTGTTCACCTAAACAAAAATGAATCCAGAGTTCCAGGGCATGGGGGTCACTACTAACCCACAAGGCTAATAGAAAGGGCCTCAAAAACAAAACAACCCTGAAAGAGTTTGAGTATGGGAGGGAGGCTGCAGGGTATAGAGTTTAAACTGTATGCAAAAATACGAGGCATCATTTTTTTACCAATCATCCCTTGCTTAGGATACTTTCCCCATCCCTCCCTTAATGCTTCTGTGGTACCAGTCACAACAGAGGAACTCCAGACTGCAGCCACCCATGGGCCCAGGATTCATATAGTGCAAGGCCCTGTACACCATTCGTCTCTTGGTTTTATTCTGAGCAGCACACTGCGATTCATATGACTGGACATTTATTTTACTTATATCCATATTGGAAAATGCCTAAATTCCTCAATACCACATAAGATTAGCTCCTAGAGAGGTCATATTAGTATAGTTGTGTCTGGTGTGGGGAGAGGTGACAATGTGTGTGCTGCCTTGTGAATCTGATGATAAGACCCCCTTATACCTAAGGGGCCTTAGTGTTCTAAGCTTGCTGTAACACAAAATACCACAACTGGTTAGCTTTAAAGAACAGAAATTTATTGTCATAGATCTGAAGGTTAAGAGTCCAAATCAGGTTCCTGATCAGCTCAATTCCCTCTGTGTTGATAGCCTCAGGAGGTTCTTGGCCCCTTGGTTTATAGACAGTCCTCACATGGCATCTGCCTTCACCTTTTTAAAACCCAGAAGTTATTAGGTTTAGAATCCACCCTATACTCTGGATTCACATCAGCTCCTGAATTGATTACATTACAATAGATTTCATTTGGAAGGTGATATTATAATTACATCACAGAAGGCAATTGACTCTACCCAAAGCCAGCTGATTTAATCACATATAACTCCATGACATCGACTTGAATAGTGTTGGCCAAACCACTGGGAACCACAGCCTAGTCAAATTGGCACATAACATTAACCGTTACATAGTCCAAGTGTTTTCCCTTTCTAGTGAAATAATCTTATTGTTGTAAATGTCCGTTTCCCCCCTCCTTATTACCTGTTTTCTTTTTGTCTGTCTTAAATGTATCTAAATTAAAGAGATAGATGGACTAATACCCTTATCCATTTGGGGAACATGTTTTATTTTCTCATGTGATGCTCTAAACTGCCCCTTTACATTTTCACTATTGCTGCCAAATACTTGAACTTACTCCATTTAGATTAGGAAAGTAGAGGTAATAGGAAGTATCAGTTACTCACCATAAAATAAGTCTGTGGCTTTAATTGTTCAAATACATGCCACTTTGTCTGTAGTTTTTGTTTTAGATTTAGACCCTGGTAGAAACACACAAGGGACCATTTAAGACTAAGACCCCAGAAGGAAGCCCATATAAATTTTGTGTGCCTCTGATGTGTTAGGCTGGGTTGACTCGAGAAGCAAATCCAGAGACACTCATATATGTGTAAGAGAGAGCTTGATATCAAAGAGCAATGATACACTGGGAAAACATCCCAGCCCATTCCAGATCAAGTTCGTAAGTTCAATATTAGTCCATATGTCCACTCCTAGTACATAAGTTCCTCTTCAGACTCACATTGCCACTTGCAATGATGCTAAATGCAGGAAGATCACAGGCCAGTGTGTGCAAAGTCTTGTAGATCCATTGGCCATGGACACATCTCCAGGGTTCTGGCTGCTATCAGCTTGGATCGAAGTGGCTTGTCAATAGGAAAGTGAAGGCAGAGAGTGTCATGCCTCCAGGGAAGAAGAGGGGACATTCCCAGAATCCTCATGAGAAGGCCACGCCCACAAGGAGGCATCAGGCTGAGACCTGATTGACAGGCTAGACTTCACCTCTTCACTCTTAATATCCTCAAGTTGACACAAGATTATGTAACTACCACAGATATGATGTCTAGGAGAAAAAATCGATGTTCTCTCTCAGCCAGTTCTCATTTGGCGTGAATGTAGTGTCCTTGTTTTGCTTTGTTTTAGGGTGAAGAGAAATCTAGTTGACCATCTAAGACCATTGATGGGTTTTCCCTTAGAATGACCTCATTATAAAAGATTTACTGGGATTCCTGAATGAGAAATACCTCTACCTTTTATGTTTTGGGGTTTTTTAAAAATAAAAATAGCTCCACATTTGTGGGGAAAGAGTTTGGCACACATACTGACTATAATATTGTATCGAGAAGCATGTTGATTGACTCAAAGCCAGGTGCTGCTGGTAGTAGTTAAACGCCTATAATGATGTGCACACCACACTTACCTACTAAAATCCTTCAATCTTCATGTGGTAAGAAAATCTCTCTCTCTGATCTAATTGACTCTCCAGTAACGGCATTACCTGGAACATGAGCTTGCAGACCTGGTTTCATTAATTATTGTACTGTCTTTGCTAGATACTGGCCTGACACAGGTTCTGATGCTCAGGTGGTTGAGTTGCTGATGTTTAGAAGTAGAACACCAAGCCTTTTTTTTCTAGTCCATCTTACCCTGGAAGCTCTGCTGAAACCTGGTCAGAGTCACTCAAGCCTCCACTGACGAATGGTGGTAGCTACAATTGAGGTGCACTGACCAGGCATTGAACCTGGGTCTCCCAAATGCTAGGACACCATTTACCACTAAACTTTCACCATACCCATTCACACAATATAGTTGCTCAAAAGCTGATGGACGAGTGTAAAGAGAGCAGAAGGCGTTGATTGTTGTACCTTCAGACCTTGGGTTCGAGGCGCAGGCTGGGCCACTCTAGCAAGAGTCCTGGAAATATTAAATCTCTGGAAACTGCACTGCCATCAAGTCGATGCTCGCTCATAGACACCGTAAAGGACAGGGTAGAGCTGCCTCTGTGAGTTTCCAAGACTAACTCTTTAAGGGAGTAGAAAGCCGCATCTTTCTCCCTTGGAGCGCTGGCTGGTGGTTTCAAGCTGCCGACTTTGCACTTTGCAGCCCATCCCATAACTACCCCACCACCAAGACCCCTTCACCTCCAGGAGGTAGAATAAAAACCTTGGGTTATTCTAAAGCCAAACTTACTACCCTTGGATGTATTTCAGCCCTAGGCTGTAAATCGTTATAGGAGAAGAAGACCTCAGCTTACTCCCACAGAGTGGCTAGCAGGTTTGGTTAGGATCTGGTGCTTACCCAATCGCAAGCACTATCAGAGCACCTACATTATCATTATTAACTCTTATCAAGTCAGGGAAATGTCCTGACTCACAATTTAGGACTAAACCACAGTGCTATAAATGAGCTTGATTAAACCAGTTCAGTCCTCTTGAAAAAGAATAATGGGAGGACATTGGAAAGGCATCAGCTGGATGTTGATATCTACTCCTTCCCCCGAATAAGATTCTACCCTCACTTGTAGGGAATATGCACGGACATTGGGAAAGATGAAATAAAGAAAATTTCCACTATGAACGGTTTCATCTTTGGAGGTTAGCCTTGGACCTAGAACACAAACAAGTCTGTTAGTCATTAGTGACTGTAACTTCTTTTCCAAAATGCATGTTTCATTGTTACGGTCATTTACAAATATTTCTGCATGACACATTTTTACGTTTGTGCTTTTGGTAAAGCAGCAAATGACTAACCTTCAGTAGCCCAATATGTGAAAAATCGTCAGAGTCCTTTCAGGATTACTTGTGTGGATTAGGCTGTTGGTGGGAACAGTGTGTTCAAACTGAAGACCTAGTGAAGAGACCGGTCTGTTGTGAGCAATGTGACGCAGTGGAATCTGGGGATTGCCCCATTATGAATGGATTATTTGGAAATAGAAATGTTATTTTTAGGCGTGGCGTTCCTATAAACCCTGAAGCTGTGTGCTTTACAAACTTGAAATTTATGGACTAAATAAAAATTACCAGATGTCTCTGTAGATGCTAAAGGGGCGAAGTGCATAGTGGATCAGAAGAGTCTGGAAGAAATGATGTTCATCTCTATGCCGTCCACACTCCAAAGAGATAGTTGAGGTCAAAGGCTGCACAATATGCATGGAGTCATGAGGGGTAGCGTAGTGCACTAAGCAACCCCTCATTACTTCATGCATATTTGTGGCCTTGCAAACAGCAATGATTCTACTCTAATTTATTACATTCTTTCCTGAGGCTTATCTCCTTCTTCTAATGGGTCAGCAGAACCCAACTTGGACTTAGAAATCTAGTAAAAGCCCAAGAAAGAGCTAAATATACCAGCTTTATTGCTTTTGTCTTGCACATAACAGTAAACCTCAATAATTTTTGTGAAGTCACTTAAATGGATTCTCTTCTCTCCTTAGAAATCCGAGCTCAATTGGTAGAACAACAAAAATGCCTGGAACAGCAAACAGAGATGCGCGTCCAGTTGCTCCAGGACCTACAAGATTTCTTCCGGAAAAAAGCAGAAATTGAGACGGAATATTCTCGGAACCTAGAGAAGTTAGCAGAAAGGTTCATGGCAAAAACAAGAAGCACTAAGGATCACCAGCAGTACAAGTAAGGGAAACATGACTCAAGTTCACCTTTCCAAGATGATATCCGACCTTTCCCCATGTTTATTGGTTTCACATCTTTTATATTTCTGTCTGATAGTTATTGATTGGCATATCCCCAGGAATAAAAGCAAACCCCTGTATTTATAATTTGTGGATTGGCACTTGTCACATTTCAGTCTAGCTGCATACTCTTGACATTTTAATTTTTCATATGTGAGAGCATTTTGAAAAGGTTGAAGCACACTCATATGTATAATGTTTGTGAATAACTTTATATCTACAAGAAGAACAAATGTTTGTAAAGTTCTTGGTTACAGAAAACTTAAAGTGTTTCTATCACAGGTAAATGCTTGAAAGAGCAAAGATAAATGAGCTGCTTCTCTTAGCACAGGCCTCGGGGTTTCCTGTAGTGATTCTACACACAAACTAGGATAGCTTGTGTTTGGTGTGCTCAGGCTTCTTGTTTGTGATCCTTGCCAATTAGGCTGACATAAAACCAGGGTAAAGTGCTCATGAGTGAATATAATGCAGCCTATATCATTTGTACTTCATTCTTTAAAAAATACATGTAAGTTAGCAAATACATACAGAAAACAGATTTGTTTGAGATACCAAGGGATTTGGGGAGGAGAGAGTCGGGAGTTACTTCTTAAGAAATACCGGGTTTCTGTTTAGGGTGATGAAAAACTTTTGGAAATGGATAGCGGTGATGGGTACACACATGATAAATAATTAAATTTCATTTGCATACTTTAAATGGCCATTTTTAATGCTATATACCATATATACTCGAGTATAAGCCGACCCAAATATCAGCTGAGGCACCTAATTTTACCACTGCCTTAAAAATGTGCTGAAAAATTCAGCTTGTACTCTAGTATATATAGTATTTCTTACCACAATAAAATTTAAAAACAAAAATTCCTAATAAGCGAAGTTACAGAGAGAACCGAGGAAATAGCAGCTCCAGTCGACTGTCTGAAGTATTCCATCAGCAAAGAACAGAGCTAAGGGTGATGGGGTGAACTACCAACACTGGAGGCAGACATAGATTGGCCTGTTTAGGAGACCCTGAAAAGGCAGTGCATGCCCCTGACTTACATATGCACCATAAAATGGCTACATTTTTATGTTCTGTTGTATTTTACCACAATGTGGTCCTTTTTTGAAGGCAGTGCCAACGTTCCTGTGTGGAAATAGAACAGGCTAGGTAATCTGAAAAACACTTCTGCACAACTCCCCGAAACGCAGGTTAAAAATATAACAGACCTCCCTTTAACTGTATAACTGAACTTACAGGAAAGTAAGGGAGATTTCCAAGGGTCATGAAAGGGAGCTGGGAACCTGAGTGGCCATGGTAGCCAGACTTTAGACCCACATGGGCACTGGAGAGGATACCCAGGCCAAGTAGAGAGTTGGCACAGGCAGTCTCTCCACCCTGCCCCCTTGGTATTGCAACCCAGCCTGCAATCCCAAGAGGAAGAGCTAATGTCTTGGTGACAGGGAAACAGAAAACCAGCTACCCGCCGCATAGGGCAAGCCAAGGAGACCTGGCTGTTTAGCCTAGACTCTAGGTTGGAAGGGCTGCAGGGAAACAAACCCTTCCCTGCACCAGTGGACCTGTGGATCCCACGTTAAAGGAAGTGTGGGAACTAGCTGGAAGGATCCATCCTCAGTCTGGGATAGAGAATACTTTTTTGACCCCCTTCTGGATGACTGTAAACTCTAGTGTTGGCCCAGCACAGAGGTAAGTCATAGTGATGATTTCCAGGGTGCACAAATGTCAAACATACTGGAACGACTCTGGGACTGGGATGAGGCGACTGGAGTCAGTACTACAGTCGTGTTTATGCTAACTGTCCCTTCTTTAGGGAGCCCTGGTAGTGCAATGGTTACAGCACTCAGAAGTTGGCAGTTCAAAACCACCAGACCTTCTGTGGGAGAAAGATGTGACAGGCCGTCTGCTTCCATAAGTATATACAACCTTGTAAAAGGCAGTAGCATGGAGCTCCTTGGTCCTATGGGGTCACTATGAATTGGAATCAACCCAATGCTAGTGGGTGGGGTTGGGTTTGGGTTCCTTAAAAAAAAAAGTGCAAGTAAGAAAACCCCATCCATTCAATAGCTATTTTGTAGTTCCTGTGTTTCTGTGGTGACTGAAAACAAATTTGGAAGAACCCAGGCACCTGAGACTTGCACTCTGTATGAATCAGATGCCACCTTTTGTTTCTCTTGGTTTGTTTGGTATCTTTCTTCAAAAGATCTTGGTATTTTCTTTGACTTGAGTACATTTATCATGGAATATAGGACTGGAGGTAAGATGGGTTAAGTCTGTGGGATGTTTAAACCAGGATTAGGAAAAAAGCTCAGAGACAGGCTTTTTAAGAGAGTCACACAGACCTGGGTTTGGATGCTAGCTGTACTGTGTGACTTTGGTCAAGTTACTTAACCTCTATGAGCCTTGGGTGGCTAATGTATAAAATAAGATTTTATGACAATCGAATGAGAAATTGAAAAAGGCCCTTGATATGCTTGACAGCTGGCACAAGGCATGTGCTCAGAAGTCCTACTCTCCCCAAAGAAATGTTATATTGTGAGTACTGTAATATCACCAATCGTGCACGCTCTCTTCTTCAGTTTTGAGATGCTCGTTATTAGAATCGTCGTTGACATAAAGCTGGCCCTGCATAGTAAAGTAGAAGTTAGGATCGGCCTCTCTTGGCTCTAAGACGATCTCAAATACTTACTTTGGTCTTTATCAAACTACTGTACATTGCTGAGCTTCATTTTTCCCCCTCATTAATTAAAATAAAATATATATATCTGCCTTAACAGAAAGTTGTGAAGATTAAGTACATTTGATGTCCACAAAGTCTCTGGAATAACCCTTAGGTAAAAATAACTAATTTGATACTTAATTACTATGTGCCCAAGAAACTGTTGTAAGCTTTTTAAAGTATATACTAACTCAAATCCTCATAACCATCCTCTGAGGATTGATCTGGTCATTATTATACAGATAAAGTAACTGTGGCACAGAGACGTAAAAATTATTTTCCCAAGGTTACCTTGTAATCTTGTGGATGGTGAACTTGGATTTGAACCTGGACAGCCTACTGCCATGGCTAAGCTCCTAACCTCTGTACTGCTGCTCCAAGTAGGCACTGAGTACAGATTAAAATAAAATGAACCCATTGCCTTTAGTTGGCTCTAACTCATGGTGACCCCTTGTGTGTCACAGTAACACTCAGCTGCATGGGTTTCAGTGCTGGTTTTGCAGAAGCAAACCACAGCCTTTCTTCTAAAGGGCCTTGGAGTGGACTCGAACTTCCAACCTTCTGGTTAGCTGCCAAGTACTTTTACTGTTTCTGCACCCCAGGCAACTGCAATTCTTATTACTGAAATTGTCATTAACTCAAATATAATAATGTGTTTAGTTAATGAATGAGATATTATTTATTGGAATGCTTACTATGGGTAAGGCACTGAGAAGGCAAAGAAATGTTGTCAAAGATGCAACAGAGGACAATACTGGGGATACATGGAAGGGAGGTAGTATGGTTTGAACCCCCCACAGCAGGGCAAACCAAGAAGGGAACATAACAGATCAGCAATGGGAGCAAAGCAAAGCAGAGCCACAAAGCCCCTAAGGAGCCCCCCAAATAGACTTCAGGCTAAGAGAGGCAGCTCCCGGAATTCACCCAGGACCAGTGGGAAGATAGGCATAAAGGTCAGCAGACAGACCTGGAATTATGTATGTTTTTGTTTTTCCTTGTTTTCAATGGTTTGTTTTCTATTTGTTTGGTCTATGCCATTGTTGGTATGCCTACTTACATAAGACAGGCATAGGAAGCAAGCTCGAGGAGAAAGCAATGGGACCAACGGTCCCAGAGGGACTTGGGGGCAGAAGGGGCCGTAAAAGGGTGCAGTGGGCAAACAACACCATAGACAGGGAAACAACTAGGGAATCAAAATCAATAGCGAGGAGGACATAGAGATCCTGGGGGTGCTGGCGCAGCAGCAATCTACCTGAGAGGCAGTACTATGAGGCAAAAGTAGGGTGAGCATGATAGTGGGGCAGAAGGAAGGTAAAAGGAAACAGAGGAATGATCTAGGAAGCAAAACTATGGATAGAGGTATAAGCATAGGTGTGTCCATATGTAAATACATTAATTCATAAAAATAGAGGTATTGGCCTATGGACATATATTTATATGACAATATACTGAGGTAGTGAACAGACTTCGGGCCTCTGCTCATACTTCCCTCAATACAAAGACACTTTGTTCGAACAACTTGGCAGTCTGAGATGCTCACCCTCCCAGTACAATCACTGAAGACAAAATGGGTGCATAAGCAAATGTGAAGAAGGCAGATGGTGCCCAGCTATTAAAAGATATAGCATCTTGGGTCTTAAAGGCTTGAGGTTAAACAAGTTGCCATCTAGCAGAGAAACAACAAGCCCACATGGAAGAAGTGCACCAGCCTGTGCAATCATGAGGTATCATCAGAACAGGGTAAGACATCAGAAGACCCTTAGCAAACAAACAAACAAAACCATAGGGTTGAGAACAAGGGGCCTTAGAGCAGAGACCCAATACCCATCTGTAGATAATGA